AAGGATGATGGGCTTCCTTCTCTTTCCAGATGATACTCAAGAGCCTCAAAGGTACTCTAACACCAGATGCTCATAGTTGTCCCCCAAGTGATCACAGAATCTGGTTCAGCCCAGATGGTGGACACAGAGCGTGTCCCTGAAAAGAAGCCAGAAGTTAGTTACTAGGACGCTCATTTCTCAGATCATTGTTTGCAAGCTTAGAACTGTCCAGTCTTCCCCAATTTCAGCCCACATCTTCTGTTTCCCATCCCCTCTACCTGGTATGACACATTGCCCCAAGTACAGTGGAGGCATCTGGGACAGCTGGGAATACACTCACCAGCCAATACTGCTTTCTTGTAGCCCAGACTCAGCCCTGAAAGAGATTGTCCTGTGAGAAGTTCATCCTGAAAGCTGAGGAGCTCCCCTCCAACCAAGAGGCTCCTGCGCCCTTGGATTCTCCTCACACTCCAGGTCCTGTCTTGGACTCTCCTTGACTTAGGTGAATCTTTCCCCTTTTCACATCTCACTGAGGCTGAACAGGACCATAAGGGTGAGAGCCATGGTATCTTCTCTCTCTAACTACTGTTGTTCAGGCAGTCTGATGAACAGACACGCAGGGTGTGGCCTTTGTTGGCCTTGTGTTCCCAGAGAGGAAGGCACTAAAAGCCCCACAGGAAGAGGAACTGACCACCTCAGGAACTTGGTCTTCATATTCTTAGGTCTGGGGCACAGGCAGTGGTGGGAACAAGACTGTTGACACTTTAAATAGAAAGGAGTTCTTTCCCAGGTCCATGGACATATGACTTAATGGTGTTCGTTTTAATAAGTCAGGATATAAACCCCTCAGGTGAGGGAGGCTGAGGGCTGGTCCTTCCATCTCAGAGGAACGCCACAGGGCCTCCTTCCCCTCCATCCTGTCATGCATCTACACAGTACTGTGTGGTCCTTACCATGGCCAGAATACTCCAAACCCTGAAGGTGTTCTGAAGAAGATATACGTCGGTGTTTCAAGGAAAACACTTCATTCTAGACATGAGCCTGGAGGGATGAAGAGGAATAAGAAAGGAAAAAATAGGTTATCAGGGCTCAGTGTGAGGGCTTCACCAACTGCTCCTTTCTCATTTACTTGCTTTTTTCTTACCAAATCACACTTGTTTGTCCCCAGAGTTATTGGGCTGGCAGTCAGGACCCCAAAACCCCTCGCAATCCAAGTTCAAGCACTTGTTCTCAATAGAACAAATAGAAGGACAGAAGTAGTAGTGAAAAACAAAGAGGGGTAATGTATTCAGTGTGACAACTCTGAGAAAATCTGTTCTGCAGAAGGATGCTGGTCTCCTTCCTGGAGTAAGGCTGTGGTTTTATTGCCCCAAACTTCCTTCTTCTGGCTTCTTCATTTCTGTAAAACATTATGGCTCCTCTTAACCCTTCTCTATGGACCAGTTCATGTCATTTCTTCTTCCTCATCCCCACCCTTTTGTTCTTTCCTCACTTTCTCCTCTCTCCTGACAACAAATCCTAGCCTGATAAAGTCGTCCTGTCTAGTTACTAATACTCACTAGAAGAAATTATCCAGTTTCCCCTTGAGACATGGGGAAAAATATTTACCAATGGCCTCCATCCCATATTCTTCAAGGTGAAAACGTTGTGACACCACCTCTCAGGTTGTTGTGAGGGTCATCCAATATAGTGGCATTCTCATTTTTCAGAATAAGACATGGGATCAAGAGTACTTGTGGTAGAAATAACTCATTAGTGCTCCACATCTGCCCCCCCCTACTGCACAGGAACATAAGATGCTATACTGCAGATGCTCTACAACACAAGCTCCACACTTAGGAAAATTATTAACCAAAGCTTATCTTAGAAATTTTATCAAAGAGCCTGGAGATAAAGTTCAAGAGTAAAGAGCACTGCTTGCTCTTCCAGAGAACCTGAGTTTGATTCCCAGCACCCACAATGAGTGGCTCACAGCTGTCTGTTGTGTAGTGTCCCAGCACCAGGAGATCTGACACAGTATTACAGCTTCTGTGGCGACACACACATGCATGCACACAATACACACACACACACACACACACACACAGAGAGAGAGAGAGAGAGAGAGAGCACATGCATTCACACATATACATAAATAAAAAGTTATTTTTTTAAAGTTTCACCAAGGAAGCAATGTTTAATTGCTGTGACCTCTGAAGCATGGTGCACCTCTACGGTGCTTTCAATGAGAACTACCATAGACCTGTGTATTTGAACACTTGGTCCCCATTTGGTGACATTATTTGGGGGGAGATTATGGAACTTTTAGGACACGGGAGACTTTCTGGAGAAAGGTCATTGGAGGTGGGCTTTGATAATTTATAGTCTTGACCCATGTCCGGTTCAATGTCTCTGCTTCTTGTTGGGAATCTTAGACCCACAACTTGCTGTCATGCTGTCCTTTCAGTTATGGATGGTCTAACCCTCTAGAACCATAAGTAAAAGCAAACTTTAGTCTATAAGTTGCTTCTAGTCATGATATTTTATCAGAGCAACAGAAAAGTAATTAATGTGAACCTCCTTCTGCTATAAAGATTATGTGTTGTTGGTTCTTCATTTTCTTGCTGGACTATAGCTCATAAAGCATAAATTTAACTATTAACACTTCAAAGTATGTAATTCAACAACACTGAATAAATTCTCAATGATACACAGCTACCACCATAATCTGATCTAGCTGTCACCAGCCCAAAGAGAACTCCATGTCCATAAAGCAGACACTATGTTTGTCCACTACGCAGTTTGTGATTTCTACAATTGTAGAGCTGTCGGTTACAAGTGAATATTATTTTAATTTGTTTTTCAAGCTAGTGTAGAAAACAATTCTACTTTTGTACAGATTTATTTTTACTATTTTTAGTTATGGGTATGTGAGAGGAGGTGTGCACATGTGTAGAACACCCTTGGAAGCCAGTAGATCCCCTGAAACTGGAGTTGCAAGTGGTTTTGAGACTGAACCCAGTCCTCTACAAAAGCAGTATGTGTTTTTAAACTCTGAGCCATCCTCCATACACTGTTCTTATTTGTCCTTCTCCTCATTCGCTTTCCAAATTCTCCTATTCCCATGCTGCTCTATTTCTTCTTCCCCCAAATTCCCGTCCTGTGGATGTGCCTTATTCATGAAATGCAGAGTTAATGACAAGATTAATCATACTCTATCATTTAGCACATTTCTGTCATCTCATATTGTATTATTATAGGAGTATCACAATTTAATTTCTCCTAGATTGAATGTAATGTACTCTACATTGGAACAATGTTGTATGCTGTTAAAATTGTTGAAAACTGGATTCTGGGAGTATGGAGGACTCTTCTGTCCCAATCTCTAGCATGTTTATTGCAAGTGTACTCCAAGTTGAAGATGGGAGTTGCAAAATAATCCCACACTAGCTCAGAATTGAGTATAATAAAGAGTTATTTGTTTAGGGGTAGACTCACAGATCACAGTCCTCTGCACAAACAGGGAACAG